TCGGAGCGACGACCTCCGGATTTCAGAATCAGAATCTTTATTATTTGTATTGGAACAATCCGATGAGCTATGAAGAGATGTTTTTTGCCACAGATGTCCAGCGGGGTCAGACAATTACAACAATACAATAATACGACAGTGCCACGGATAGGGAAGGTCAACAAATCACTTGGAAAATATAAAAATACATTTTGACTTAAAACTTTCGCGACAGCAGGAATTAATATTCTTTGGTTATTTCGATAAAGTCACGTAGGTAGAAACAATAAAAGTAAATAAATAAAAATAAATGATGACGATCGCTTGTGTTGTGATCGAAACGTCGTAGTTTTTATTTTATTTACTTAAATTTTTTCTATCTACGTCACTTTACCAAAAGAACCAAAGAATATGAAAATACACTTACACGTTTTTATGTTAACAGGTAAAGCCAACTGGCCTATGAGATTATTTTTCAGAAGCGACCTGGCCACAAATGATAGCTCTACAAAGCAGCTTATCGTGTGCAGGTGAATACTCTAGACCAGTGGTTCTTAACCTTTACTGCAGACTGCACCCCTTATTAACATGTATAATGTTAATCAACACATAGGGTTTGATGAAACAGAGTAGTTGTACTTTATACAAATAAAATGAAACTAATTTTATCTTACCAGGTCAAGCCCACCGAGTTAGAATCTTATTTTTCAGAAGCGACCTCGCCACAAATGATATATCTCAACCAAGTGGCTTATCATCACACGAGAATTTATAGCAGCCAATAATCTAAATAATCTAAATGGATGATTAATTATATCTTTTCTTGCGTACCTGGTGCTCTGTGTGAAAGTCACGTATAAAAGCATTCGATCAATGAACAAATGTGGAGGTAAAAACCGGAGGATCCAGACGGAGAAAAAATCCACAAGACCACGGGGAGAGAGAGACACGCAAACTCCAAATATACAGCAGCAGGCGTCAGGGTCGGGATCAAACCCACGACCTGTGTACCAGGTGAAGTTGTTAATATCTTGCCACTGAGAGAGAGACACGCAAACTTCAAATATACAGCAGCAGGCGTCAGGGTTGGGATCGAGCCCACGACCTCCTGCCTACCAGGCAAGGGAGTTAACATCTCACCATGCTGCATGTAGCCGCCTGTAATTCAGCGCTGTAGAGGTGGCAGCAAGGGTTGGTGGATCACATGGACTGTGAAACTCGCTTGCAACCCGTGGGCATCGAGGAGGATCCGTACCCTGGCTTTCCAGGAGAACGTGGTACAGCAAAAATGTGGACTCCACCTGTCCCTTCTGTATGGGATCGAGTGTTGCCCCCTCGCATGTGTGAGTTTTCTCCGGGTGCTCCGGTTTCATCCAGCATGTTTCAACACTCATTCATTGGCCGATAACATTGATATGCAGAGGACCGCAGAGCTTGGGCAATTGTAGGAAGCACCGGCTGCTGATGCTGCCTTCCCACTCATCTACGGCTCCTCCTGGCGCCTGAGTCGTCTTCTCTCTCTCTGCGAGAGCGAGGAGCGGATACCTTGCGCGCGGTTACAAATTGAAATAACGTGACATTATTTTTGTTTTCATCATCAAGATCGCACTCTTGAAGCCTTGAGAGTGTCGTCCCCTCGCACGCGTGGGGCTTTCTCCAGCTACTCCAGGCTTCTTCACACGTTGAAAACACGAATGGGATTGGCCGAACATCCCAACAATATATCCATGGGACTCAGTGAGGCTTTCCCGGGCTACATACTTGGGCACGGTCATGAAACCAGGGCCAGCATTCTGTAACCGATGGCGCCCTTGCCTTTATTCGTAACCACCTCGTGTGTGCCATTTCTCGCGTCCTCACCCTCCACCTCACGTGCGCTCGGGGTGTGCGCTCGCGTCAAGCGACGCCCTGCGGAATGTGTCAGCGTCGTCCGTCAGCGTCGTCCGTCGTGCGTCAGCGTCGTCCATCGTGCGCCAGCGTCGTCCGTCAGCGTCGTCCGTCGTGCGTCAGTGTCGTCCGTCAGCATCGTCCGTCGTGCGTCAGCGTCGTCCGTCGTGCGTCAGTGTCGTGCGTCGTCCGTCAGCGTCGTGCGTCAGCGTCGTCCGTCAGCATCGTCCGTCATGCGTCAGTGTCGTGCGTCGTCCATCAGCGTCGTCCGTCGTGCATCAGCGTCGTCCGTCGTGCGCCAGCGTCGTCCGTCAGCGTCGTCCGTCGTGCGCCAGCGTCGTCCGCCAGCGTCGTCCGTCGTGCGCCAGCGTCGTCCGTCAGCATCGTCCGTCGTGCGTCAGCGTCGTCCGTCGTGCGTCAGTGTCGTGCGTCGTCCGTCAGCGTCGTCCGTCGTGCGTCAGCGTCGTCCATCAGCGTCGTCCGTCGTGCATCAGCGTCGTGCGTCGTCCGTCAACATCGTGCGTTAGCGTCGTCCGTCATGCACCAGTGTCGTGCGTCAGCGTCGTGCGTCAGCGTCGTCCGTTGTTGCGCTCTCCGGCCTCGCTCTCCCTCAGTGGTTGAGGGGCGACGCGATGCCCATCGCTTCGCTGTTTCCACGTCCTGCGTTTTTCCCAGTGACTGTAGCGTACAGCCATCACTCGTTTAACGCGGCGGTAAATGCGCTCCTGGAAAGTGCCGCGCTTAACTAGAGATGCGTTGAGCGGAACTTAATTTACCCATAAACAACGACAAAGTTCGGCGAAATACGAAGTACGACTACGCAGTGAGATGACTGTTAACTGAAGGTTTGCCGCCACGTTACTGTATCATTCCACGTACCATATCGTACCACTCAGCCGCACAGCTCAAGAAAGTAGTTGTCGACTGTTATTACTGTACACGTTCCGTGTTATTACTGTACACGTTCCGTGTGATTACTGTACACGTTCCGTGTTATTACTGTACACGTTGTGTTATTACTGTACACGTTCCGTGTTATTACTGTACACGTTCCGTGTTATTACTGTACACGTTCCGTGTTATTACTGTACACGTTGTGTTATTACTGTACACATTCCGTGTTATTACTGTACACGTTCCGTGTCATCACTGTACACGTTCCGTGTTATTACTGTACACGTTCCGTGTGATTACTGTACACGTTCCGTGTTATTACTGTACACGTTGTGTTATTACTGTACACATTCCGTGTTATTACTGTACACGTTCCGTGTTATTACTGTACACGTTCCGTGTTATTACTGTACACGTTCCGTGTTATTACTGTACACGTGTTATTACTGTACACGTGTTATCACTGTACACGTTCCGTGTTATTACTGTACACGTTGTGTTATTACTGTACACATTCCGTGTTATTACTGTACACGTTCCGTGTTATTACTGTACACGTTCCGTGTGATTACTGTACACGTTCCGTGTTATTACTGTACACGTTCCGTGTTATTACTGTACACGTTCCGTGTTATTACTGTACACGTTCCGTGTTATTACTGTACACGTGTTATTACTGTACCCGTGTTATTACTGTACACGTGTTATTACTGTACACGTGTTATTACTGTACACGTGTTATTACTGTACACGTGTTATTACTGTACACGTTCCGTGTTATTACTGTACACGTTCTGTGTTATTACTGTACACGTTCCGTATTATTACTGTACACGTTGTGTTATTACTGTGCACGCTCCGTGTTATTACTGTACACGTTCCGTGTTATTACTGTACACGTCCCGTGTTATTACTGTACACGTTCCGTGTTATTACTGTACACGTTCCGTGTTATTACTGTACACGTGTTATTACTGTACATGTTCCGTGGTATTACTGTACACGTTCCGTGTTATTACTGTACACGTTCCGTGTTATTACTGTACACGTGTTATTACTGTACACGTTGTGTTATTACTGTGCATGCTCCGTGTTATTACGGTACACGTTCCGTGTTATTACTGTACATGTTCCGTGTTATTACTGTACACGTTGTGTTATTACTGTACACGTTCCGTGTTATTACTGTACACGTTCCGTGTTATTACTGTACACGTGTTATTACTGTACACGTTCCGTGTTCTTACTGTACACGTTCCGTGTTATTACTGTACAGTGTTATTACTGTACACGTTCCGTGTTATTACTGTACACGTTACGTGTTATTACTGTACACGTGTTATTACTGTACACGTGTTATTACTGCACACGTGTTATTACTGTACACGCTCCGTGTTATTACTGTACACGTTCTGTGTTATTACTGTACACGTTGTGTTATTACTGTACACGTTCCGTGTTATTACTGTACACGTTCAGTGTTATTACTGTACACGTTGTGTTATTACTGTACACGTTCTGTGTTATTACTGTACACGTTCCGTGTTATTACTGTACACGTTCCGTGTTATTACTGTACACGTTCCGTGTTATTACTGTACACGTTCCGTGGTATAACTGTACACGTTCTGTGTTATTACTGTACACGTGTTATTACTGTACACGTTCCGTGTTATTACTGTACACGTTCCGTGTTATGACTGTACACGTTCCGTGTTATTACTGTACACGTTCCGTGTTATTACTGTACACGTTCCGTGTTATAACTGTACACGTTCTGTGTTATTACTGTACACGTGTTATTACTGTACACGTGTTATCACTGTACACGTGTTATTACTGTACACGTTCCGTGCTATTACTGTACACGTTCTGTGTTATTACTGTACACGTTCCGTGTTATTACTGTACACGTTCCGTGTTATTACTGTACACGTCCCGTGTTATTACTGTACACGTCCCGTGTTATTACTGTACACGTTCCGTGTTATTACTGTACACGTTCCGTGTTATTACTGTACACGTTCCGTGTTATTACTGTACACGTTCCGTGTTATTACTGTACACGTTCCGTGGTATAACTGTACACGTTCTGTGTTATTACTGTACACGCTGTGTTATTACTGGACACGTTCCGTGTTATTACTGTACACGCTGTGTTATTACTGTACACGTTCCGTGTTATTACTGTACACGTTCCGTGTTATTACTGTACACGTGTTATTACTGTACACGTTCCG